CATACATCAGTATATTTCAGTATATACTATCAACTATTGCTGCTCACTAAGGCAAGAGACATCAGAAGCTTTCGACGCTTAAAAGGAGCACATTCAGTCCTACTCTATAGTAGCATGAGGATAGTGGCCATTGCGATGCCTACTACTCTTACAGACAGGTCTTGCTTCTCATTTGGTTTGCACGTATATCCAGCTTATCTCTATGCCAGCAAAGCTAATTAGAGGCACATTAGTGACTTTTCTCGGTTTGTGCAACGACAGAACAATCAAGAAAAGGAGAAACTAACATTTCTCATGAACCGCTCACAAAAGATCGATTTCTCAAGCCCATTGGGTTCTGATCTGTGAAAAATTAGACCCTTGGTTCCAATGTGAACGCAATTTTCGCATTATTCTCTTCGTAAAGCATAGGAAAAGTATCACTGATAGTGAACATGATAGTTTCGAAACTCTCACTACGCACATAGAAAAGGATTAATAAGATTATAAGTAAGTTGACCTGGTTTCCGCTACTTGGTCTTGTTGTCAGGGCGATTTAGTTGAACGCATCTTGTCTGAAGTCCTTTGCCATAGTAGTTATCTTAATTCTCATAATCAGAGCGTGGACTTCATACATTTTCAGACGTTTCGCCGGCATCATCGATGAGTCTTGCCATTCTCCGCACCAAGCTACAAGCTCGCCAAAGACAAGTGAAGTCAATCCCTCGACCCACTTTCTGCCAAAAATGGTTACAATATCACTCTTTCTGCCCTGGCCTATTTATCAACGCTCTTATCCAATTCCCACCCTATCACAATTTTTGACTTATTTATATTCCACTTGTCAAAATGTGTGCCCTTTTTTGGCAAATTTAGTGTGGCCTCACACACCTGCTATTCACCTTGGCCCCTTCTCTTTCGATCGGCTAATCCGTTTTGGGCCTCCTATTCGGATCTCCATCATGGTCTCCTAGATCTGTTTGTTTTATTTTTGGTTGACGGATTTCAGTCGGTTCTAGTCCCAGTGTGCTTTTTACTCCAAGTGCTATTTCTCAAGGCCTTAGAAATACGTACACTGCTGGCTCACCGAGCAGAGCCTAGGCTCTGATTCCCATGCTTTCAGATATTGGTTATTGCAATCGTGGGTCGTCTTCTTGAGTAAACCCATTTTGCCTGAACAAACTGTTGACGCGTATCCCTGGTCGCACGCAGCACCTCAAATGGATTTATAGTACATTTTGGCCATTATCCGTCTGCATTTGAGATTAAAGAGCCTGAATAATTCTCATGGACCATGTCTATGATCAAACATGTCTACTATTAGCCAACTGGCTCTAGTCTCCGCCGCATTTATCGTGCTTCTATCCATAGTCTATGACTTCCTATGTAAACTCACAAATGTTGTGGTCCCAAATTGAACCTAGTCAAAACAAGTAGAACCACAACATTTGTGGGTTGGTACACAAAAGGCTAGGGCATAGGAAGTCATAGACTTGGAACTATGGGTAGAAGTACGATAGATGCGCGGAGACTAGAGCTAGTTGGCTAATAGTATATGTGTTTGATCACAGACGTGGTCCACGAAGCAAAGGCTTGACCATGAGGATTACTCGGGCTCTTTAGCCTCAAGTTAGTCTCCAATCCAGCTTGAGAATCCTGATTTTTTAGCGGCCTGCTCAGCGAGGCGGGAGTATGCGTGCCATCAAAGGCTTGAGACAGTGTGGGAAATAACTCTTCGAGTAGAACAGATAGGATGGCAGGGATCGAGTGAAATACTTGAACCAGGACTGTAAGAGGAGGATCCTACGAGGCCTATGGGAAGAGGATTGCGGATTGAGGGGTGAAATATCAGTTTTTGGTTTGGAGAGTTTTCATGAAATCCACTAAAAAAGAGCACACCATACCACATTTAAATAAGCAATTAATAAATTGTGATAGTGAAGGGGTTATACGAGGATATAGGATTGGTGAATAGACCAGGACAGGAGAGATACCACAATTGGTCAAAGGGTCGGCTTTATTTGTTTATTTGACGAGTTGTAGTGTTTTCCTAAGACTGGCAATGCTCACTGATTATGCCGACTACGATGCCAGCGAAACTTCTGGGAATGTTCCACGTCCACGGTCCGACTAAATTATCATGGACTCCGGACTAGGTGCTTTTCTCTAGGTCTTCCTACCAATACGACCAAATTTTAAAACAAGGTCAAACAACATTTTAAATTGGTTAGGTTTATAAGGTTAACAACAGGAGAGTTTATATTACCTACAGCGAATATAATCCGTGCCAGTCGAGATAGCCAATTCGCCATATACTCCACATGATATGCAAAAAATTTATAAATTGTGAAGAGTTGGCAATTGACTATTTTCCTTTTCTGCAATTTACTCTTAATAACAGAGACCTTGCAGAACGCACCTCATTCTACGTACAACGTTCATGCATTCAAGTGCTCCCGTTGTTTCTGACCCATGACCAATGACAATTTTCGCTGACTGTCACTAAGCCACACCAATCATGTCAGAAAACTACATCTCGCCGAAGTAATGGATGAAGCCGACCCCATCCAAAATGATGTTTAACTATTATTTCACTTTGCCTTATCAATTTCTTAGTTCTGTATCACCCTGTAGTCTAGTGCATAGGCTAGCCTTATATCCCGCTTTTGCCGATTAGGATGCTGACGAAGCGTCTTATAATATACACAGTCAACGATCCGGTGCCACAAGCGGCCATGATCGCATTTATAAAATATGCCAGCTACGAGCTTCTTCGAAGTTGGCCTATGGAAACGGCTAGGTTGTTGAAACGAGGCCAAACCAACTATAATGAATAAAGGGATTAAAACAAAGACAAAAACTACATCTTTATCCTTTTGTCTACAAGGGAAATATCCTTGAATACACTATTATTGCGTTCCACATATCATTGAACTGGCCTTCATTTCACTTTTATAATTTTTTGGCGAATCCTCAATGATGTGACGTGAAACAGATTCAGCAGGGAGGCCTTCTTTTCTACTGTTTTTGTGCATTACCTTAACACCTTCAACTAATCTACGATTTCCTCCCATCTCAAGTAATCAGTCAGGTCCCTTCAATATGAAGTGACCAGCTTACTGCACCTGCATCCGCACTCTACCTATTTAGCTTGATCAAACTCCTATTGCATCGGCAGCCACGTCTCCAGACCGGATGCCAGGCAGTTTGCACAACTGTTTACCACAAAGTCGGATGATTTATTCGCTTTGTCGCTTTGTCGTTCTGGGAAAAATCATAGGCTCTAACAAACAGAATTCACTCAGTAGACTCAACGAAGTGACTGAGGTGTAAAAATTGTCAACTTATCACATTGATAAACAGAATTTTTGGAATTTGTTGCTATTGCCCTGATGTTGGTGGCCTCACTTTGTCCTAGTCTCAGATACACGCCATAGTATCGAATAGATGAAGATCCGCAGACTTCAAGATCCCATGCGCCAGTTTTTTCTGGTGTAAGGGACCGCCACACGCATTTCTGGGTAAGCGAGCAGGAGAATGAAGCAAAACAGGTTTGCATAAAGGTGGTGAGGAAGAAAACGGCCAAGGCAATGAGAATGTTACTAAAAGGGCGATACAAGTTTGAAGCGTAGTGAAAAGCGAGAGTAGTAACAATAAACTCTAAACCCAGAGCGAAGATGGAGCACCAAGGTCCAAGGCGGTTGGAGTAATTGTGATCACAGGTTTGTTGCACATACGCAGACGCAGATGCAGAAGCGGACGAAGACGCAAGGGCATGAAGTTGAAAACTGCCCATACAGCGGACCAGTTGATGGTAGCAAAGACTGACTGGCTGGGAGAAAGCAGGAGTGCAAGTGGGCCGATTCTCGGTAAGGGCAAAACAATTTTGCGCTATATGCGCATAGAGCAACACAGTGACGAGTTTTCGGCTACCTCATGAACATTGTGCAAGCGCGATTGAAGACACGACAACACTGGTTATGGCAGCGACTGCATCATGTGTGTATGGCTGTGTGAATGTATTTGTTCTAGTGCACACTCTTAAATCAGTCGATCCGAGGCCCGATGGTGCCAGGCTAGAAGTGGTCTAAAACGCGTCGAGGACGAGCGATCGAGCGATATGGACATGCATAGATGTATGCATGAACATGCAAAGAACAGCGGTATGTGCAAGAGAGAGGCTTCAGATAATGTGGCATGCCGGATCCCGTCAAAGTATATCGGGAACGCTTTTGGCCTGAAGTCACGTCAACGCCCCGCTTAACTGACAGAGAAACTGGCAAACATGATCATCTCGACTAACCGCCAATTCGGCATGTAGACAGGCGTCGGGTACGGGCAGAACAGGGCGGGCGTTGGACTTAGAGAGAGCATTCGGCACTGGATTTTGTGGTTCCAGCAAGACGACGCGGGTGGACATTCGCATCCCAGAGAGTCTTAGCACTCATATTGGGGCTCTCTGTTAGCCTCAATCGACCAGAAATGAGAGCAATCCGATTGATGTGCGCTTCTTAAATAATCTCGAAAGGTCAACTCAGCATCGCAACTCTAAGGTTTACGCCAGAGTTAGGCGTGCCGAAGCGGCCCGAACACAATCACACACTAATGTGTTCACACAGCAAAGCTCTGTGGGTAGAAAATAATGGAATGTCCGTTTGTTAAGGCATGACGATTGCGGGCTCAATCAGAGCCGTGGCAACCGCAGTATATATATATATATATATATAGAGAGAGAGAGAGAGAGAGAGAGACT